TGGTGACTTCCCTGCTGCCTCTCCAACATATACCATGTCACCTAATGGAGTCATGGACTCTGGGAGAACACTGTTTAAATCCCCAAAGCCCCTTCCCTCAGAATCCATTCCAATGGCTTCAGCATGAGCACTGGGCCCTGACTCTTAGGTCACTAAGTATGTAGCCTCTATCATGCTGTGACGTTGTGACTGTTCAACAGTTCACAGGTTTGAAGACCCATGTTTCCAGCTGTGATCATCTTTAGAGATGGTGTACATGTTAACTAGCAGTGTGCTGTTCCTTGGTGGTACACAAAGGTTTTCCACCTGCATACGCTGATGTGTTCAAATAACAGTGTCTTAGACTCATGACAAATGGACAGCTTCTCCTATAATCTGGGTGGTCCTTTAATGATAGGCCCTGCCTGGAATGAAGTGCCCCCATGCCCCAGACACTGATTAATAACAAGTGGCCAGAGAATTCTAAGAGGTGTGCCAGTGTGAACCAGAGAGTCTTATGTCCTTCCTGACTTCGCTGGCCCACCCCAAATCACTCTCACTATGCTATGCCTGAGTAAGCTTCAAGCACGTTCTCCCACCTCCCCCATTCTGTCGGGGGCTATCCACGTTGAGCGTCCACAGTGGATTCTATAAACACATCTGCCAAGTCTCATCCTTCCTCCTCATTGCTGAGCAATTTTTGGAAAGGTCGCATATTTGCTATTCACACAAACCACCCACCCTCCCACCCCTGCACCCACTGATGCATACTCTCTCCCACGTCTCCAAATGCCAGACCTGTGAGCTCAGGGGGCACGAGCCTTGGGGAAGCTGAGAAGGGGGTGTTTCACGCTGGGAGTCCTCAGTACAGAGCTGTACACACACACACACACACACACACACACACACACACACACACACACACACACAGGAACCATGACTCCTCCATCATTCAAAGGAACTGCTCATAAAATGGGCTAAGAGAGCAGGCTGTTTCAAAGGACCTAGAGTGATCCAACCCCAGGAGCTTCACAAATATCTGTGTGTGTTTATTTAAGCCCAAGCTCCTCACTCCTCACGTGTTCCTATCTTAACCAAAGAGTGCATAACTGTCCCCACCCAGACGCAGCATCTCAAAGCCCCGGGTAGCACAAGTGGACAAAGCTTGGTTTCCAGTTCGGGCCACAGCTTGAATATCAAATTATGGTATGAAAAGGCTGAGTGTTTTTGTGGTGAAAGCAACTGAATGCCGCAGAGGCCAAAAGGAAGCCGGGAAGGGAGAAGACTGCCCCTGGGAAGATGGCTCAGGGTGGGGGGCAGCAGTTTCCTCTGCCCAAAAAGCCTCTTGCCGTCTCCATCCTGCTAGATGACCTACTTCTCTGAGGCCAACTCACTCCTGCTGCCCCACCCCCACCCCCAGTCTCCATCAAATGCTCTGTATACTGTTGTCAGAGTTCCTGATGCATGCTTAAAAGGCTACTGGTAACCATGGCACGGTCTCCATGGACCAGCACAACAGCTGAACCTCATCCCTGATGGCTGTTGAAAGGCTGCTGGACAGCTACAAGTGATGGCCTGACGTCTTAACTTACTTATTATTTTCCTTTTTTTAAGCGTTGGGGATGGAACTAGGGCCTTTTGTATACTAGGCAAGCAAACACTCTTCTATTGAGTTATATCATCGGCCCTGGATTTTTATATATATGTGTGTGTGTGTGTGTGTGTGTATATATGTGTGTGTGTGTGTGGTGTGTGTGTGTGTATATATATGTGTGTGGTGTGTGTGTGTGTATATATATATATGTGTGTGTGTGTGGTGTGTGTGTATATATATACATATATGTGTATGTGTGGTGTGTGTGTGTATATATACATATATGTGTGTGGTGTGTGTATATATATATGTGTGGTGTGTGTGTGTGTGACATTTGTTTTTTAGAGACAGGGTCTCATGTAGCCCAGGCTGGCCTTGAACTTACTACATGGCCAAGGAGCGAGGGCCTTGAACACCTGACCCTTGTGCTTCAGCATCCCCAGTGCTAGGATAACAGCTTGTGCCACCAAGCTCAGTTTTATGAGGTGCTGGGGATCAAACCCAGGGCACCATGAATGCTAGGCAAACACTACCAACTGAGCTACATTCCCAGTCTGGTATATATTTATTTAATTAAATTGATTGATTGATTGGGTTTTTCTTGAGACAGGGTCTCCCTGTAGCCCCAGCTGGCAAGGCTGGCCTGATACCCACAGAGATCTGCCTGCCTCTACCTCCAGAGTACTGGGATTAAAGGTGTACACCACCACACCCAGCTTAAAATCTCTTTTCTTTTTAAAAATTATTTTTATTTTCTGTGTATGAGTGTATTGCCTGCATGTATGTAAGTGCACCTGTGTCATGCAATGCCCAGAGCCAGAAGAGAGTGTCTGTCGGGACCCCTGGAACTGGAGTTACAGGTAGTTATTAGCTGCTGTGTGGGTGCTGGGAATTGAACCTGGGTCCTCTGCAAGAGCAGCCAATGCTCTTAACTGTTAAGTCATCTCTCTAGGCCCCAAATCTTTTTTCTTCAAAAGACCTTATAAGGGCCGGGCATGGTGGCACATGCCTTTAATCCCAGCACTCGGGAGGCAGAGGCAGGTGGATCTCTGTGAGTTCAAAGCCAGCCTGGTCTACATAGTGAGTTCCCGGTCAGCTAGGGCTACTGGGAGACCCTGTCTCAAAAAAGACCAAAGGGGAAAAAAAAAAAAAAAAAAAAAAGACCTTGTAAGGTACCACACTGCCTGGAGAGGACAAGTAAAATTCCTCAGGATGACATTCTGCCTGGTACTCTGGCCCTGGAATACTCTTGTGAATTAGCCAGTTGCCAGCCCTATTCCACAAGCCCCAGTGCCTCTCAACACAGACCCACAGTACCAGTTATATTCAACTTGTGAAGGGCCTTATGATACATATTTAAATATGCATCCCCTGGGGTGTCCCTCCTCCCCTCTGCCTTAAAAAACCAACATCCTTTAAAAACCCTGCAGTTCTCTGCACATGCCCAGGGCTCCTGAGGAAGTCCACAGACTGAATTCATGATGTACTATGCTGTGGTATATGCTTTCTCCTCAAATGGACTGCCTATCCATCTTCCCATTCCTAGACCCAAGAGTCACAGACTAGCAGCTTTCAAGGCCATCTGCTGAACACAGGTGTCAGAACTGCTCTCACCAGACTTGGGACAGAGCCAGGTCAACAAGTCCTGCATCCTGCCTGGCCTGGACACTAAGACACCCCATGAGTAGGGATGTCCTGCCATCCTGAAGGCAGGGAAGGGCCTTACATAGTTATCTCTTGTCTTGTATCAAGATGCTATGTATGTAAAGCTGTCTATGTTTTTTTTTGTTGTTGTTGTTTTCTTCTGTCTTTTTGACAGGGTCTTCCTGCAGCCCAAGCTGGTCTGGAACTTGCTATGTAGACCAGGCTGGCCTTGAACTCACGGAGATCCACCTGCCTCTGACTCCTGAGTGCTGGGATTAAAGACATGCACCACCACACCTGGCTATAAAGCTGTCTATTCTTACTACTCTTCCATAGGCCCCAGGTTGGGTTCCCACAACCCACATGGAAGCTAACAACTGTCTGTAACTCCAGTTCCAGGTGATCTGATGCCCTCTTCTGGCCTCCATGAGCATTTGTACACAAAGGTGCAAGCAAATCATTCACACACATAAAATATAAATAAGTAAATAAAATGTAAAGCTATCTATCTTTTTTAAAAAAGTTCACCTGCACCCAGAGAAACACTCCAGGCCTAGGAAAGCTCACCTTCTATTTAAGAAGAGTTCTTTGGGCTCCCTCACACCTAGGAAGGAGAGAAGCAGGCAGCCACCTTGTTCTGCCTGACCTAAGTGGCCTCTCCCTCCTTAGCACTTAGCTTGACCGTACAAAGCTGAAAGCCAGACCTCTCTGCTTCGAGAATCTTACAAAAAACCTGCATTAGCATGGAACAGTGAAGGCCATTCCTCTCCCTCCAATTCCCATGGGAAAGACCCTCAAGGGCAGGTACACCTTGGAAAGCCAAGGCCTAGCTCCAGAAAAACTGTCTCATCTTACAAACACCGACCCAGTGCCTAGCACACAGTGATGGTAGGTGCTGGGAGACACAATGGTAAGAGGCCACGAGTCCCTGCCTGTCTTCAAAGTGTCCGAATTCTAGTTCAGGAGACAGCAGACATCTGCAGGAAACTCCTACAGAGAGCCACCCCTGGGGAGACCCAGGGGGTCAGCAAGTGCAGATCCAAAGAATAGGCCGTGGTGCTAACGTGTAACTGTGCACACATGCCAGAAGGATGCAGGGGCAAGAAGACAGCACAAACAAATGGCGACCCAGACTGGGGAATAGGCATTGTCAGGAGCCAAACCTCTCACGCCCACTCACACTTCAGAGAAAAGAAACCTAGACCGAAAGGGACATTGGTGAAATTGGGAGCAGAACCAAAACACAGCTATCACCGTTTGCTACTCCGTATACATCGAGGCTAGGGGGGCTTCTAGAACCAGAGTGACTGATTATAATCCTGTCTCTGCCACTTAGCAGCTGTGTGACCTCAGAGTCCTCATCTGTAAAACAAGAATGAGTAACTACAGTACCTAGCTTCTAGGGCTGTTACGAAAATTACATTTATAAATGCGAGATGGTCCACAGCACTTTGACACAAGCGGGGCTGCTGTTATTATTACACACGTCCGCACTCTGGCCAGTAGGCTCTCAGGCGGCACGTCCCCTTCCGGCTGGAGAACACGAACCCGGGAGACCCCGGAGCCCTTGACCCTCCAAGGCCCGGCGGACGACACGCATGCGCAGAGCAGGGGAGGCGAGCCCACCCCGGGTCCCGCGCGTGCTGCAAGGCGCCCACAGGTCTCGGCAGCAAGGGGAAGGCAGCAGCCGCACACTCCGTCACCGAGAGACAACCGGTCCTGCCCCCGAGGGCACCCCCCGAGCTCCCAACCCCTAGCCCAGACAGCGAGTAGGTTTCCTCACACTTTGGAGCAGGCTCCTCCTCTGCACCGCCATCTTGGAGGACCCCCGCGGCGCGCCACCCGGAGGGCGGAGCACCGAGAGGCAGGGCTAGAGTGGCTTCGACGAGCTGCCCTGGCGCATGCGCGCAGCGCCCTCTTGCGTAGGGGAGGTGCATCCAGGGAGCTTTTGCGCAGGCGCAGTCTTTCTACTTTTACTTTCCTGGGGGCGAGGCATGAAGGCCTCTTGACGTTCTTTTTTCTTTTTTAATATTTTATTTATTTTTATTTTATATGCGTGCGTGTACTGCCTGCATGTAGGTATGCGCACCTGTGTCGTGAAATGCCCGCGGAGGACAGAAGAGGCTATCGGATCCCCTGGAACTGGAGTTACAGTTGTTAGCTGCCATGTGGGTGCTGGGATTCGAACCCGAGTCTTCTGCAAGAACAGCCAGTATTCTTAACCGCTGAACTATCTCTCCGGCGGGCGCACTGTTTTCAGGATTCTTCTTGGCGTTCCTGAGGCCCTGATTACAGCTATTTTTTAAAATTAATCTTTATGTGTATGTAAGCACATCACATGCATGCAGTCCCCACGGAGTCCAGAAGGGGGTGTGGGAACCTCTGGTTTTTAGCTACCATGTGGGTGCTGGGAAATCCCTATCCAGTGCTCTTAGCCCCTGAACCTCTCATTATGACTATGAGCACTTAGGTGGATGAGAGCAGGGAAGGCCAGAAGAGGGTGTTAGATTCTCTGGGACTAGAGTTATGGACTATTGTTAGCTGCCATGTGGGTGCTGGGAATCAAACCTGGGTCCTCTGGAATAGTAGCTAGAGCTTTTAACAGCTAAACTATCTCTCCAGCCCTTTTTTTGATCTTTTTTTGAGACAGGGTCTCCATGTAGCTTCAGCTGGCCTCAATCTCATACATCCACCTTCCTCTGCCTTCCAAGTGCTGGGATTAAAGGCATGCGCCATCATGCCCTCTTATCTTTTTTGGAGACAAGACCTCATAAGTACAGGCTGCCCTCAAACTCACTCAGTAGCTGAGGATAACCTTGATCAGAATTCTGATCGCCCTGCTTCAGAGTGCCAGGATCACAGAGATGTGCTAAGATGCCTTGTTAGACATGTTCCCTGATTCTCACACCAAGAATGCTTCCCTTAGTCACTTTTGATCACTTAACTTTAGAACCATAGTTGTCGCTTGCAGAGACTCCTGAAGACAAGAACTGCAGCATCTCAGCCCTGGGTTTTCTTATGCTCCAAAGAAACTGCTCAGCAAATGTTTGCATCATCAGACTAGTTAAAGACAGAAGCAGAGAGGAATAGATATGTTGGTAGTAACTGGGGAGCTAGGACAACAGCTTGGGGTTCCCCAGATCCCCCTGAATCCTCTCTTCACACCTAACCCCACAAATAATGCACCATGGCAGGCTCAGCCACCTTGGCTGGTTTTCCAGGTTCAGCATGACACTTTAGAGGATGAACATTTAGTCAGTGCCTCCTGTTTGCCAGGCACAGAGTTCCCAGGAGCTAGCTGATACATACAGGGACGTCTGCTGCCCCCCTGGGGACAGCATGCCTGGAAGCCAAGTTGTAAAGTGTGTCCCACTTTCCCCAAGCCAAACAGATGTGTCACACTGGGGCTTGTCATCTGTTCAAAATGTTTGTACCACAATTGCTGACCCTGATCACCATTTAAAACAGCCACAGCTGGCTCAGGGCCTTATCGTGGGTGTCTATATGGGCAGGCCACTCAGCACAGACAAGGGTCCCAATGAGCTGCAGGATGTGCACATTATACATGTTATCTGAGACATCAGATAATGGCATTTTGACCTTCCCCATCCCCTGACAGCACACAGAAGAGGCAGCCTTGTGGTGAGTCGGGCCTTCTGGGAGTGGAGGTGGGCTTTGCAGGAAAGCTAACCACCCCTTAGGTGAGAAGTCTACACTGAGGTCGTCTGTGATTCCACAGTCTCCAAGGCACCTGTGGGTTCCAGCTGATCCCTAACCTCACACACAGCCTCTGCAGCTGCTCTGCAGGAAGGTGCTGGCCTGAACAGATGACGTAGGGACCTTGCAAAGCATTGTGAAGAGAGAATAAAAGACGTGCTGTCGTTCTGTCATCTCCATTCTCAGCCTCACCTTCCCCCTCACTCTCTATTCTGACAAGGACCCCTAGCAGGTGTTGTAGCCTAGTTGCCCAGGAAGAGGGCAAGGACCCCAGACAGGACTCCTTTCTGATGTTTCCTTGTTGCGTTGCCAATTTTAGTAAATACATCATATTCCTTCCCTTAGACACACCATCATGGGGTGGTCAGCTCACAGACTTGTTTCAGGTTGGTAGCACTATACCCAGCTCTGTAGTAAATGACCACTCATGCACTGAAAAACTGTTTAGTCTCTTAAAGAAGCATGGTGAAGGGGCTGGAGAGATGGCTCAGCAGTTAAGAACACTGGTTGTTCTTGTAGAAGACCAGGATTCAAATCCCAGCACCCACATGGCAGCTACGAACCGTCCTTAACTCCAGTTACAGGGGAATCTGAAGCCCTCTTCTGACCTCTGCGGGCATTGCTTGACACAGGTGCATTTATCTATATGCAGGCAATACACGCATACACATAAAATTAAAAAATAAATTTAAAAAAGCATGGTGAAATACCTGGGGAGGGGGCTGTTATAGTACTTTAACAAAGGAAAGGAGGGGCTAGAGATGGCTCAGCAGTTAAGAGCATTGGCTGTTCTTGCAGAGGACCTGGGTTCGATTCCCAAAACCCACATGACAGCTGACAACCATCTGTAAACTCCAGTCGTAGGGGATCCGACGCTCTCTTCTGACCTCCTCAGTCATTGCACATCATGGGTGCACTTACATATGCACAGGCAATTCATTCTCTCTCTCTCTCTCTCTCTCTCTCTCTCTCTCTCTCTCAAATAAAAACAGGAAGGATGGAGCCAATGCAGCCAAGGCTTGACCTCTGAGGGATCTGAGCTGAGATGGAAATGGGATTTTGTGTTGCAGGTCTCCTTATATGTTATTTGAAATTTTTCAGAATCAGACATAGTGATACATGCCTGTAATCTCAGCACTTGAGAGGAAGGAGGAAGGAGGATCACTATGAGTTTGAGGCCAACCTGGGCTATGTAGTAAGATCCTAGCTAAAAGAAAAGTTTTTCAATTAAAAGTAGAAATGGGGGCTGGAGTGATGGCTCAACAGTTAAGAGCACTGGCTGCTCTTGCAGAGGACCTGGGTTCGATTCCCAGCATTCAAATGGTGGCTAACAATTGTCCATAACTCCAGTTCCAGGGGATCTGATACCCTCTCTGACCTCTGTGGGCATTGCACGACACAGGTGCACTTAACATACATGCAGGCAATGCCTTCTTACACTTAAAAATATTTTTTTTTACAAAGTAGAAATGTAAACAGAATCTTTGCCATCAAGAAGCTTACAGTCCATCAAGGAAAGCAGAAGATTGCAGATCCTGTGAGAGTGGCATGGTAAGTATAAGGCTGGGGCTGGAGAAACCCAAGAGATGCCTATGCCTGACTTAGGAAATCAGGGAAGGCTCCCTGTAGGAGGTGGCATCTAACCTAAGGCCGGAAGGGTGCATGGAGGGCGTATTAATTTTCTCATTGCTGTGACGAAAGCAACTTAAGGAAGGGTTTATTTTGGCTTACAGTTTTGGGGGTACAGCCCATCCTGGCCAGGAAATTACTGGAGCAGGAGCATTAGGCTGCTGGTCACATTGCATCTGCACTCAGGAAGCAGAGAGATATGCATGCTGGTATCCAACTCGCTTTCTCCTTTTTAGTCAGTTTGGGACTATCACCCAGGGGATGGTGCCACCTACATTCAGAGTGAACCTTCCCTCTTCAGTTAAACCTTTCTAGAAATATCCTCATAGACACACCCAGAGGCATGTTTCCATGATGATTCTATTTATTTATTTATTGACAGTGTCTCACTATGTAGCCATGGCTGTCCTGGAACTCTCTATGTAGACCAGGCTGACCTCGAACTCATAAGTTCTGCCTCCCTCTGTCTCCCAAAAGCTAGTATGAAAGGCATGTACCACCATACCTGGCTCCACGGTGATTCTTAATCCCATCAAGTTGACAAGATTAATCATCACAGAAGGAAAGTGTTCTTAGCAGAGGAACTGGCAAGAGCGGAGACTGGTCCAGTTGGTACAAGTGCTGGTGCAGTCAAGAGGGTCCTGACAGGATCAGTGTCAGTTCTGCAGAAGTGACACTGTGAACTTTTTCATGTTCTCTCTTTTTTAAAAAAATTTTTTATGTGTATGAGTGTATTGCCTGCACTCGTATCGTACAATGCCCTCAGAGATCAGAAGAGGGCATCGGATCCCCTGAACTGGAGTTACGGATAGTTGTTAGCGGCCGTGTGTCTACTGGGAATTGAACCCCGGTCCTCTGAAAGAGCAGTCAGTGACCTTGACTATTGAGCCATGTCTCCAGCCCCCACATGTTCCCTTTATGACATGTCTACACAGACAAATCAGTATTATCCTTTATGAAGGTCAGGGGACAACTTTGGGAAACTGGTTCTCTCCCCACTTCGTGTGTTCTGGGGTTCAAACTCAGGTCGTCAGGCTTGGTGGAAGGTGCCCTTACCTGCTAAGCCATCTTTTTTCTTTTTTAAAAAAATATTTACTATTTCATTATTTATTTGTATGTGTGTATATTGGGGGGGTGGGGTGCCCACAGAGACCAGAAGAGGGCATCATACCTGGAGCTGGAGTTATGGGTGGTGGTGAGATGCCCAATGTGAGTGCTGGGAATTGAATTCCAGTCCTCTGGAAGAACAGTGAGTCCTCATAACCTATGAGCCATCTCTCTAGCCCCTGTACTGAGTCATCTTTCTGGCCCTCCGTAATTTTAATGCAAGGCAATGGAGCCAATGTGATTGTTTCTATACACAGTGCCACAGTCTTACTAAATTCATTTAGCGAGTAGTCTCTTCTTTCCTCCACTACTTTTTTTTATTATTTTTGCAATTTTGTACACCAGTGTCTTTATTTTCAATGTTCTCACCTCTCTGGGGATTTCTGAGATTCAATGGAGAAAGCTTAGCAAGTTTGAGCTCAGAAACACAGGTCTG